AGTTACAATTTCAAGCATTTTCAAGGATTTCCAGCACCCGTACGAACCCTGATAATTGTCAAAATATGGGGAGATTGAGGAAAGTAGCCTTCTTTAACCGCCCAGATTAAATGCTCGGCTCAGGCTGCTGTTTGGAGACATTTTTGTCACAACTTTACTCTCATATTATTACGACTTTGCTCTCTTAATATTATGACTTTATTTTCATTCTTATGACTTTAGTGTTGTAAATAAAGAAAATAATCTTAGTATGGTTTCTTCCTGTTAAAAGGGATTTTTTCCTCTCCACTGTCGCTACAAGCATGCTTAGTGTGAGGGATTGTATTAGAGTCAATGAGGCGATGCAATCAACTGGTTTTCCTTAGATGGAAAACTTTGAATCAATCTGACTGGATGATCTGGTTGAACTATAAAGTGCCTTGAGATGACATGATGTGAATTGGAGCTATAGAAATAAACTGAATAGAATTGTGCTTTATTTTAAGCAGTCAATGGGTTCCTTGAAATGAGCTTTAGACATGAAAGGATACAGATGAAAGAAGTGGTGGCAATAGCCAGGATGGTTCCAATGGGGATGGACTTCTGGGCATCCCTCAGGTCACCTGAGCGGTTCGAACCCGCCATGATGCCTAGAAGACACGGCGTAGAAATATGGTCTGACAGCTCCAACAGGTGAGAATATGAAGTCTGGTTGTTATGCTTCTGCAGGTTAGTCTCACCTGTGACAGAAGGGAAGTAGATTCCAACCAACAGAGTGAAGAAGGTGGTGATGTCGTTGACCACGTAGGGAAGGTAAATGTCCTTGGCGGGGTCACTTCCACCAACAGAGGACAGCTTCTTGTCTTCCACCAACTTGCCAAGAGGGCCGTACTGCGACCACATGTTTTCTACAACCGCACCAACGACAGGGTATTAAAAAATTAGGATAGGAAGGAGGAAGGAGAAGAAAAAGCAACATGGAGGCAGAAGATGGAAACATTTCATTATTGCAGAGTAGAAGCCAACTGGTTTGATCTACTGACTGATTTACTGTAAAGATGCAGATAATGATCAGATAATGAAGGAATGTGGACATAGTCATGAGTTATGAAGAATAATGTGATTCCTCATTAGTTCTGACATATTAGTGGAGCTTGAAGGAATAAAAGCCCCTTTAGATGATTTTAACGCTAATTTCCTTTCTATGGGTCATTCCTCATGGTTGATGGAGCAGCTCCTACCAAACCAGTCCACTGAGGAGAGAACTCCTCGAATCCATCACTAAAAAACTTTCTATTGGACCAAGAAAATAAATCAGTTGCTAATTCTTTAACCCCTTATAGGGCAAGTTAGTGTTTTTGATCACTTGCATACCCCTTATAAA